AGCAGCTGACCTGGGCAACAAAGCTGGCTAGCATTTCTGGGAGTTGAAATCCAAAACACTTGGACCGGGCTGTGGCGCAGCTAGTTAGTAGTCAGCTGCATTAAATGACTACTGACTGAGAGGTCATGAGATCAAAGCCAGCCCGGGTCGGAGTGAGCTCCCAACCACGAATAGTCTAGCTAGCTCTCAACCTATGCAGCCCAAAAGACAGCTGCATCTGTCAGACGCCCTCTCTAGCAGGCGTCTGACACTTGGACCGGGTTGTGGTGCAGTTAGTTAGTAGCCAGCTGCATTAAATAACTACCGACCGAGAGGTCATGAGATCAAAGCCAGCCCGGGTCAGAGTGAGCTCCCAACCATGAATAGTCTAGCTTGCTGTTGACCTATGCAGCCCAAAAGACAGTTGCATCTGTCAGACACCCTCTCTAGCAGCAGCTGACCTGGGCAACAAAGGTGGCTAGCATTTCTGTGGTGCAGCTAGTTAGTAGCCAGCTGCATTAAATGACTACTGACCAAGAGGTCATGAGATCAAAGCCAGCCCAGGTCAGAGTGAGCTCCCGACCATTAGTAGTCTAGCTTGCTGTCAACCTATGGAGCCCGAAAGACAGATGCATCTGTCAAATAGGAAATTTAGGTACCGCTTTACGGGGGAGGCTCATTTAACTAATTTACGATGCCATAAAACCTTCCAGCAGCGTGCAGAAGAATGAGGAAGTACTCCATCAAAGGACCCAGTGAAAGCGGCATCTCCCCCTGTGGCCAGAATCGAGCATACCCTCATGAAGCTGGAAAAGCTGGAATGTTAAATTGCCTCTGTGTCTGTCTATATATGTTACATGTCTAAAGCTAGCCCGGGTCGGAGGGAGCTCCCGACCATTAATAGTCTAGCTTGTTGTTGACCTATGCAGCCCAAAAGACAGTGTTAGAACTGGGTGGTTCTAATTCAGTATGCCACTGGTCCCGATGCCCATGTTCTGTTACTCGTCTTTGCAATTCACTAGCAGGGCTCTCTAGTGTCTCTGTTTTTGTACAGTTAGGGAAGGCATGCTGCGATACAGCCAATGCCTCTCGGCTGACGTGTCTCTAGTCCCGTGAAGTAGTTGGATGTGAAGCCGAGACCTGGCTCGGTGATACTGGGAGTGTTGACGCTGAAGCAGAGCCAAGCAGCCGATGCTCAAGGCCGCCAGCCAAGCGGAGGAGGGAGGAGGGAGGAGGGAGGAGGAGGAGGCTCCGTTCCGACAGCCGTTCTGCCGAGCTGCTCTCCTTGGCCTCCCTCCGGAAGGAGGAAGTGCATAATTTGAAATCAGTTGGCTGTGGCTGCCAGATCTCCTCCAAGGAGACGGAGGAGGAGACGCTTGCTCCGGCTGCAGATGGAGGCGTCTTGCTGGAGCCTCCTCGGCTGTGCCTGGAATAATTGAGTTCGATTCCACTTCCTCTATTTACCAAGTCACCGTTGTTGTTGTTCTTCAATGGAAGGAGGGAGGAAGAAAAGCCGCTCCCTGGCGTTTGGCATAAACTATGTCTGGTCTGGTTGAAAGAGAGGAAAAACCCAAAGAATCTTGGATCAGGCTTCTATCATCACTTCAATCACTGACTGGAAGTCGGGTGAGCCTTTGGAGCTTGACAGGAGTCTGTATTTCACCAGCGAAGAAGTCTGTTGCAGATACTCACATGCTTCTCATTGAGCTGACTCACTGTTGGGTGAGTGGACTTATTAACAAAAGACCCTCTTCAACAGGGTAACTTAGCAGCAGCAGCGTGACCCAGCAACGGTAGCCCAAAGTGATAAAACACTCTGAGGCCTTTCTCCCACTGAGGTGTTCTCTCATACAGAGAGGCTTCTCTCACACAGAGAGCTCTCTCTGACTGAGGCACCCCAAAGAACAAGGTTTCCATGACACAGATAAAGTTCAGCTGTCACACTGGAGCTTCACACMCGARGCCTTCTCATAACGAGGCCTACCTCACACTYTGAGGYCTTTCTCCCACTGAGGCTTCTCTCACACAGCGAGGCTTCTCTCACACAGAGAGCTCTCTCARACTGAGGCACYMCAAAGAACAAGGTTTCCAYGACACAGATAAAGTTCAGCCRTCACACTGGAGCTTCACACAYGARRCCTTCTCATAACGAGGCCTACCTCACACTCTGAGGCCTTTCTCCCACTGAGGCTTCTCTCACACAGAGAGCTCTCTCAGACTGAGGCACCCCGAAGCACGCAGACCAATGTTATCTCTTCCTTAAGAGGCTTTTCTTTATAGCAAAATAATGTGGTTGCACTATTTTCAAGAACAAGGTTTCCATGACACAAATAAAGTTCAACCGTCACATTGGAGCTTCACACACGAGGCCTTCTCATAATGAGGCCTACCTCACACTCTGAGGCCTTTCTCCCACTGAGGTGTTCTCTCACACAGAGATGCTTCTCTCACACAGAGAGCTCTCACAGACTGAGGCGCCCAAAGCACACAGACCAGTGTTATCTCTTCCGTATGAGGCTTTTCTTAATGGCAAAATAGCATGGTGGCACTATTTACAAGAACAAGGTTTCCATGACACAAACTGTAGAGGAGATTCTACTGAACAAACCAGTACCTGCCGCATACGAGTACTGCCATCTGTTGAGGAGTTACGATGGGGGAGGCATTACTTTTCACTTGAAATACACAACCATTCAATGCTAAGGCTTCCTGCCAAATGGAACTGTAGAGAAGAGTGTACTGAACAAGCCAGTACCTGCCGCATACCAGTACTGCCATCTGTTGAGGAGTTACAAAAGTGGAGGCATTACTTTTCACTTTCACAACACAACCGTTCAATACTAAGGCTTCTTTCCAAAATGGAACTGTAGAGGAGAGTGTACTGAACAAGCCAGTACCTGCCGCATACCAGTACTACCATCTGTTGAGGAGTTTCAAAGGTGGAGGCCTTACTTTTCATTTTAACAACACAACCGTTCAATACTAAGGCTTCCCGCCAAAATGCAACTGTAGAGGAGAGTCTACTGAACAAACCAGTACCTGCTGCATACCAGTACTACCATCTGTTGAGGAGTTACGAAGGTGGAGGCATTACTTTTCACTTTAACAACACAACCTATCAATGCTAAGGTTTTCCAACAAAATGGAACTGTAGGGGAGAGTCTACTGAACAAGGCAGTACCTGCCACATACCAGTACTACCATCTGTTGAGGAGTTACGAAGGTGGAGGCATTACTTTTCACTTTAACAACACAACCATTCAATCCTAAGGCTTCTTTCCAAAATGGAACGGTAGAGGAGAGTCTACTGAACAAGCCAGTACCTGCCACATAACAGTACTTCTACCTGTTGAGTTACGAAGGCATTACTTTTCATTCAACCCTCGTAGGGTAGTTTCCCCTAACAGTCAGACAGACACTTCCGTTTGTAAGTGAATGTGTAAAAGAGGGGAAAAGCCGATCTTAGGGGTGGGATGGGGTGTGTGTACTTGTAGTTGGGGTCAGGGGCGGCTCGTCCATTACGCAAAGTAAGCGGTTGCCGTACACTTTTTTTTTTTGCCAGGGGCGCAGAGGCGGCTCTGTAAATGCYCCTCAACCGCTACTTGAGGAGCACCCCCTCGGCTCACAACAGCTGTAGCAGTCCGGGGGGGGGGGGAGCCTCGGCTTCCTTGCCTCACTGCTGGACGATCCTGTTCCCGATGGGGCCGGGCCCTTGAGCCTCCCCTAGCCCCTCTCGTTCCTGCTCCAAATCAATGATTGGTTGGGGAGGGGGCGCCAAAATACTGTTTGCTTAGCGTTGAAAATTACCTCTCGTTGGGGCTTTCCAAATTAGTCATGCTTCCTTGTTTCCTGAGGAGCAGAGCGACTAGAAACTCCAGTGAGGAGGAGCCATAGTGAATTCATTGCTATCCTGAACACTGGATGGAGACCCTCCTGGGCTAGCTACCCTTTTCGCTGTTGTTTTCGTCCTGATTTTATTTCCTTCTCCCTTCGACGTAGCTAAAAAACATGAACCACCTTGAAGACGTTATGCCGGACTCCCCAGGTCTCCCACTTCCTTGCTCCCTTTCCCCGGCGAAAGACCCGGCAGGAGGTCAGGGCCAGCGGATTGACCCTGCCTGCTGTTTTAATTGGCGCTTCATTAAAGATGGATGCGTGGCTGGAGGAAAAGGCTGAGATGCAGCCAAGGGTTGCCTCGGGTCCGGAGTCTACCTCTGATTGATGCCCCCCTCTTCTCCAACCCTCAAAACCCTTTTCTTCCTTTCTATCCATCTCCTAGGTACGATGGGAGGTCTCTTTTTGGATGGCGAAGAGAGCCCCGCGCTGGAGGATGTCAGCAAGTGGACGGTGGAGGACGTCTGCAGCTTTGTCGGCGGACTGTCCGGCTGCGCAGAATACACTCAGGTACATACATCCCCAAGGACTCCGCTTCCAAATGGGATTTTCTCTTTGCCACCCACAAAGACGCTGTTTCGAGAGGGGGAAAAGAAATCAAGAACTCGTAGAACTTCTCGGCTGCGTTGATTTCCGGGAAGTGGGTGGAACGGGGCTGGGAAATCCTCAACGGGAATATCCATAACGGGTAGGGACAAGAACTGGGTTGCTGTGAGTTTTCCAGGCTGTCTGGCCATTTTTTATTTGTCATAACTGCAAGTCACTTCTGGTGTGAGAGAATTGGCCATCTGCAAGGACGTTGCCCAGGGATGCCCGGATGTTTTGATCTTTTCCCATCCTTTTGGGAGGCTTCTCTCATGTCCCCGCATGGGGAGCTGGAGCTGACAGAGGGAGCTCATCCGTACTCTCCCTGGATTCGAACCTCCAACCTGTCCATCTTCAGTACTGCCACCATTGCGCCATCAGGGGCTCCATTGTCTGGCCATGTTCAAGAAGCATTCTCTCCTGACGTTTCGCCTACATCTATGGCAGACATCCTCAGAGCTTGTGAGGTCTGTTGAAAACGAGGAATGCTTCTGGAACATGGCCACACAGCCCGAAAAACTTGCAGCAACCCATTTACATTACGATTCAGAACAGTAGCAAAATTACAGTTATGTAGAAGCAATGAAAATAATGTTATGGTTGGGGGTCACCACCACATGAGGAACTGTATTAAGGGGTCATGGCATTAAGAAAGTTGAGAACAACTAGGTTAAACCCTTGTGCTGGCAGGACTGCTGATCGAAAGGTTGGCGGTTCGAATCGGCGAGTGGGGTGAGCTCCTGTCTGTCAGCTCCAGCTTCCCATTTGGGGTCATGAGAGAAAAGCCTCCCACAGGATGGTAACATGAAGTCACGGCATTCAGAAGGTTGAGTACCACTGCGTTAAACCCTTGTGCTGGCAGGACTGCTGATCGAAAAGGTCGATGGTTCAAACCCGAGGTATGAGGAGAGCTCCCGTCTGTCAGCTCTAGCTTCCCATTTTKGGGACATGAGAGAAAAGCCTTCCACAGGGTGATAACATGGAGTTGTGGCATTCAGAAGGTCGAGTACCACTGGGTTAAACCCTTGTGCTGATAGAAAGGTTAGCAGTTTGAATCAGGGAGTGGGGTGAGCTCCTGGTCTTGTCAGCTCCAGCTCCCCATTTTGGGGACATGAGAGAAAAGCCTCCCACAGGATGGTAACATGRGGTCGCGGCGTTTCGAAGGTTGAGTACCACTGGGTTAATCCCTTGTGCTGATCGAAAGGTCGGCAGTTCGAATCGGGGAGTGGGGCGAGCTCCCATCTGTCAGCTCCAGCTTCCCATTTTGGGGACATGAGAGAAAAACCTCCCACAGGGTGATAACATGGTGTTGCGGCATCCAGAAGGTGCCGAAGGGACACTGCCACCGCACCCTTCGTAAACAAGGGCATGTCAACACTTCCAGAGCTGGCCAACTAAGAGAAAACATGTATGAAGGTGGCACGGAGGGAGTTAAAAGCGGATGCAGCTCTTTTGCTGTTGCTTTTGTCCACGTCAATCCTGGCATTGAACCGGTTCTTTGACTCCGCAAGGAAGTCAGGCCGCCTGGGGAGGCACCGTGAAGCCGCCGGCCTGCTTCCTCTCCTCCGGAAACCGCAGCCGCTGCAGCCAGGGAGGTCTGGCATGGCGCTGACCTGCGCTGGGCAGCACAAGCCCGGCGTTGGAAGCCGCGGAGAGCCCCAGGGAGCCTCCATCTGCGTCTCTTTGCATCCCACACACAGCTTGGCTGTTTGGCTTTTGAGGAGGGCAGGAGCAGAGGGAGGCTTCCAGCTCGGCGAGGAAGGAAAGCAATCCCGTCAGTTGAGGTCTGCTGGGTCACAGCACAAAGGGAACACATACCGCGAGGAGAACGCCACTAGTGAGCGTGCCCTCCTTTCGGAGGAAATACTTTGCACAGCTGCTCTGTCTGCATTCAGTCATTTACTGAGCGGAACTAAATGGCTGAATGCAGCTCTCGGCACCGATCCCGTTTGTGTACGTTCCACTCCTTGCAAGGAGAAAGCAAGCACAGCAAGGAGAGGCCCCAGATAGAACCATCTCCCTTGGGTAGACATTCTCTATTTCAGAGAAAGAGTACCTATGGACCAAAGTGGTCCCTAGTCAAGTTTTCCCTGGTCAAAGTGGTGTTTGGTCAAAGAGGTCTCTGGTCAAATGTTCCCTGGTCAAAGTGGTCCTGGTCAAAGAGGTTATTGGTCAAAGACGTCTCTGGTTAAGTGGTCCTTGGTTAAAGAGATTCTTGGTCAAAGAGGTCCCTGGTCAATGTGGTCTCTGGTCAAAGAGGTCCCTGGTCAAAGAGGTCCTTGGTCAAAGTGGTCTCTGGTCAAAGAGGTCCTTGGTCAAAGAGGTCTCTGGTCAGAGTGGTCCCTGGTCAAAGTGGTCCTGGTCGAAGAGTTTCTTGGTCAAAGAGGTCACTGGTCAAAGTGGTCCTGGTCAAATAGGTTCCTGGTCAAAGTGGTCCCTAGTCAGAGTGGTCCCTGATCAAAGAGGTCCCTGATCAGAGGTCCCTAGTCAATATGGTCTCTGGTCAAAGTGGTCCCTGGTCAAAGAGGTCCCTAGTCAAAGTGTTCCCTGATGAAAGTGGTCCCTGGTCAAAGAGATTCTTGGTCAAAGAGGTCCTGGTCAAAGAGGTCCTTGGTCAAAGTGGTCCTTGGTCAAAGTGATCTCTGGTCAAAGGTCTTTGGTCAAGTGGTCCCTGGTCAAAGTGGTCCCTGGTCAAAGTGATCCCTGGTCAAAGTGGTCCCTGGTCAAAGAGATCTCTGGTCAAAGTGGTCCCTGGTCAATGTGGTCTCTGGTCAAAGTGGTCCCTGGTCAAAGAGGTCCCTGGTCAAAGTGGACCCTGGTCAAAAAAAGGTTGGGAACCACTGCTCTATTTCAATGAAGACTCATTAAGACATGGCTGCTTTCAGAACTATGTTCCAACCCAACTAATGGTTCTCTGAAGGCTACAGAGGTTGACACTGCTCCAGGGCCACTTAACGATCCCTTGTGCTTTTATGTTAAGTCCACACTGCAGCTCAATAGGCTGTAGTGTTTCTGAACCAGCTTGAGCCATTTGATAATGGCATCCCTTCTCTTTCCCCATCAACAGGTCTTCCGGGAGCAGGCCATCGATGGTGAAACCTTGCCTCTTTTGACCGAAGAGCACTTACTGAACAACATGGGACTGAAACTGGGACCAGCGTTGAAGATACGATCGCAGGTAAGAGAGAAAGGAAACCAGAGTCTCTGGAACTTCAGTCAACAGCCAGTGTTGTCTACTGAGATGAAGCCAAGGGTCACATTCTCCTCAGACATGAGCCACCACTCCTCGACCATCTGGGAGTCAAGAAATCCCTGCAATTTCTGTGCAGGATACATTTCATGGGGTTCTAGATCAGTATTTGTCAAACTGGGGCTCCAGACCCCTGGGGGAGTTGCAAGGGGGTTTCAGAGGGGTCAACAAGGACCATCAGAAAACACGTATTTCTGATGGTCTGAGGGACCCCTTTGGCAGAGAAGGATGAAGATCTCTTCGCCTGTCCTGCTCTTCCTTTTTGGAAAAAGATGGCAAATCCTCCCCCACCAAAAGCCCTCCTCTGCTGTGATTGGCCAGCCTCTCAGCTAAGGGGAGGGCTGTATCTGAGGCTCCAAGCAAGGAGGGGAGGGCAGGCATGCTTGGTGTATGGCAGCGTGGTTCACATGTGTGAGCGAGGGAGAGCGTGGAAGGCTGGAGGGAGGCTCATACCAGCGAGTCCCTTCAAGGCATGGGGGTTCAGTGTGGGAAGTTTGGCCCAATTCTATTGTCGGCGGGGTTCAGAATCCTCTTTGATTGTAGGTGAACTATAAATCCCAGCAACTACAACTCCCAAACGTCAAGGTCTACTTTTCCTCAAACTCCACCAGTGTTCACATTTGGGCATAAGCGGGGAGGGGAGAGCAAGCATGCTTGGCACATGGCCGCATAGTGCTACAACTTCCAAATGTCAAGGTCTATTTTCACCAAACTCCACCAGTGTTCACATTTGGGCATAAGCAGGGAGGGGAGAGCAGGCGTGCTTGGCACATGGCAGCATAGTGCTACAACTTCCAAATGTCAAGGCCTATTTTCTCCAAACTCCACCAGTGTTCACATTTGGGCATAAGCAGGGAGGGGAGAGCAGGCGTGATCAGTGCAAGGCAGCGTTGTGTGCATGTGCGAGCGAGGGAGAGCAGGCGAGGCTGGAGAAAGGCCCATGCCAGGGAATCCCTGTCAAGGCCTATTTTCWCCAAACTCCACCAGTGTTCACATTTGGGCAGAAGCAGGGAGGGGAGAGCAGGCGTGATCAGCGCAAGGCAGCGTTGTGTGCATGTGCGAGCAAGGGAGAGCAGGTGAGGCTGGAGAAAGGCCCATGCCAGCAAGTCCCTGTCAAGGTCTATTTCCACCAAACTCCACCAGTGTTCACATTTGGGCAGAAGCAGGGAGGGGAGAACAGGTGTGCTCAGCGCAGGGCAGCATGTTACAGATATGTGGGTGAGGGAGAGCAGGCGAGGCTGGAGGGAGGCTCGTGCCTGTGAGTAGCAATGAAGTAGCAATGAAAATAATGTTATGGTTGGGAGTCACCACAACATGAGGAACTGGATTAAGGGGTCGTGGCGTTAGGAAGGTTGAGAAACACGGCTATAAAGTTTCCCTTGTACTCCCAAAAGAGTTGGCGCGAACGGGAGCCCCCCTGCCCTCTCCCCATCCGCTCGCCAAGGATGCCAGAGATGCGGCGCTCCTATTAATCACCTTCCGTCTTGCTCCTTTGCACCTCTGCAGCTGGTTTCTGTTAGGGCGGCAATAAAAACAACCCAAAACAACCAGTGCATTATTTGGGTAGCAAAACGTGGGGGGTTTTCATTTTCGCGTTTTCGCTTTCCCCTCCCAGTGCACAAAACACAAAAAGGGGGGCCACCCTCTTCCAATGAACATGAACGTTCCTGGATTCCCGCCTCTCCTGCTTTCTTCTTCCGTGAATCAGTTTTATTTCCTGCGGAATTGATCCACGGGGAACAATTGCCCAGAGAACCTTTTTATTAGGCCCCTCGTAAACAGTAAGGGCTGCAGGGAAAGTAATAAAGTCGCCCGTATTGTTTTAACATAATATAACGAATGTATATGGCTGGTGGGTCGAGGGGGGGGGGTCGGAGGGGAGTCAGGGGCTAAGTCAGCAAAGGGTGTTTATTCCATCATTGTCCGTCTCCAAATGAGAGGMTTTGCTTTGGGATWGTACYYGAGTCAAGRTTTTTGGAAGGAAAGGAGTGGATGAACGGTCYGAACCCSTAAGTCCAGAAGAAAGGGAGAGCRGCAGTCTATCCATCGCAGTCTGGGGCTTSAGGGCTGAACCTRTCYTTCTTCTGAAGGTATTTGGTRGCATTCCAGTTAGGCTGTGCTACAAGTCCTGCTATCTCTTCACCTTCTGCTCTGCTTTTGGTCATAGTTAATTCCTCGGCTTCGGGGAAGTAGTTCCTGTAGATCCCAACCGGTGGACCACAGCCCACAAGTGGCCCACGAGACCTAAACTAAGGTCCAAGAGACATGCATTTTTAGGACGGTTTAGGGGGTCCCTGGTCAAAGTGGTCCTTGGTCAAGTAGTCCCTCGTCAACATGGCCCCTGGACAAAGTGGTCCCTGCTCAACATGGTCCCTGGTCAAGTAGTCGCTGGTCAACATGGTCCCTGGTGAAGTGGTCCCTGGTCAACATGGTCCCTGGTCAAGTACTCCCTGGTAAACATGGTCCCTTGGTTAAGTAGTCGCTGGTCAACCTGGTCCCTGGTCAAAGTGGTCTCTAGTTAAGTAGTTCCTAGACAAAGTGGTCCTTGGTGAAGTAGTCACTGGTCAACATGCTCCCTGTTCAATTAGTCCCTGGTCAAAGTGGTTGCTGGTCAAGTAGTCCATGGTCTACTAGGTCCCTGGTCAACATGGTTCCTGGACAAAGTGGTCCCTGAACAACATGGCCCCTGTTCAATTAGTCCCTGGTCAAAGTGGTTGCTGGTCAAGTAGTCCCTGGTCAACTAGGTCCCTGGTCAACATGGTCCCTTGGTCAAGTAGTCACTGGTTAACATAGTCCCTGGTCAAAGTAGTCCCTGGACAAAGTGGCGCCTGTTCAATTAGTCCCTGGTCAACATGGTCCCTGGAAAAAGTGGTCCCTGGTCATAGTGATCTCTGTTCAGGTAGTCCCTGGTCAACATGTTTTGATGTTTTACTATTGTTTTGGGGGGCTTCTCAAGAAACCGCAAGTCGCTTCTGGTGTGAGAGAATTGGCCATCTGCAAGGATGTTGCTCAGGGGATGCCTGGATGTTTTACCTTCATTTTGGGAGGCTTCTTTCATGTCCTCTTGCATGGAGAGCTGGAGCTGACAGAGGAGCTTACCCGCTCTTCCCGGATTCAAACCACTGAGCGACTTGAGAAACTGCAAGTCACTTCTGGGGTGAGAGAATTGGCAGTCTGCAAGGATGTTGCCTAGGGGACATTGCCCGGATGTTTTGATGTTTTACCATCGTTTTGGGAGATTTCTCTCATGTTCCCGCATGGGGAGCTGGAGCTGACACAGGGAGCTCATCCACACTCTCCCTGAATTCGAACCTCTGATCTGTCGTCTTCAGTCCTGCTGGCACAAGGGTTTAACCCATTGCACCAATAGATTAGTACCAGAGTGTAACTGCTTCTACTGTTTGTGTGCTCACTCACATCATGTCCGTTTTTGTTCTCACCCACAGGTAGCCAAGAGGGTCGGCCGCGTGTTGTACATGGCCAGCTTCCCCATGGCTTTCCCGCTGCAGCCTCCAGGTCTGCGACCCACTGACCGCGACTTGCCTCCTGCCGCCGAGCTGCGCCCGTCCTCCACGGGAAGCGTGCCCTCCTCCCCCTACCACAGCACTCTCCTCCCCACCAGCCGCGTCTCGCCAAAGCAGGAAAACGGAAACCCTTTGCTCGCCGGCCTCAACGACGCCGCCAAGCCGCCGTCTTAACCGCCCCGCCGCCTCTGCCTTCTCCCGCTTCGTCGTTCGGATTCCCGGAGCCGAGGCCTACACGGACTCCGAGGAACGGAAAGAGTCCGTGCGAAAGGGAGATGGCCAGGATGAGCAGGGCAGGGGGAAACCAACCCAAAGATTCCTCGGAAGCAATTTGGAAGCGACGTACGGTTTGGGAGGGGACTGTGACGGTCTTTCTTTCGCAATTTGGGAGATCGTCCGAGAGAGTCGAGGACTCTGCTTGCCATTCCCTGCCCGGACGGAAACTGTAATCATCTCCCCTTTCCTTGTCCCTCGCCGGAACATGTAAAACCGTTCCTCTTTCGGGGTGTGTCTATGCATCGCTAAAGAACGACTTTCGAAACAATACCAAAGACATCGACGAACCGAACTCCATGTTTACTTCTATTTGGACGGTACGCCCTGTGCGGTACAGTTTTCGCTCTCCGTTTTGTTTTGTGTTTTGTTACAAGGATTTTGCATTTCAGGGTTTTGCTGCTTCCGACACTGCAAAAGACTCTCGTTCTCGCCGAGCTCTGCACAGACTGAACCGACGAATAATAATATTACGAATATAGTGTTAGGGAACCGAGGGGAGCGAGGGATGTGGCGCAGGCGGTTCTCCGCTCCTCCAACAATGTGTGTACAGAACCCGTGCGTCCCGTTCTGATTTGGTACTCGCTTCGTGATCCGGCGGTGCCCGGGTTACTTGAAGAAGGCCTTGTTTGTTTTGGGGTGTTGTGTGGTCATACGTTACTCTCTTTCTATTTTGCTTTTTATGAATGCTCCCTAAGGATCTGGGTGAACTACAACTTCCAAAAAATCTTGGGTCAATCCTCCCCAAACCCTGCCACTATATACAGTTGGCCACCTTGGGTCTGTGTACCAAGTGTGGTCCAGATGTGTCAGTTGTAGTTCTGGATACACGTGAACTACAACTCCCATATGCCAAGGCCAATCACTCCCAAACCCCGCCTGTATGCACAGTTTGCCACCTTGGGTCTGTGTGCCAAGTTTGGTCCAGATGTGTCAGTTGTAGTTCTGGATACACATGAACTACAACTCCCATATGCCGAGGCCAATCACTCCCAAACCCCACCTTTATGCACAGTTGGCCATGTTGGATCTGTGTGCCAAGTGTGGTCCAKATGTGTCAGTTGTAGTTCTGGWTACACGTGAACTACAACTCCCATATGCCAAGRCCARTCACTCCCAAACCCCGCCTGTATGCACAGTTTGCCACCTTGGGTCYGTGTGYCAAGTGTGGTCCAGATGTGTCAGTTGTAGTTCTGGATACACGTGAACTACAACTCCCATATGCCATGGCTAATCACTCCCAAACCCCGCCTGTATGCACAGTTGGCCGTAATGGATCTGTGTGCCAAGTTTGGTCCAGGTCCATCGTCGGCGAGCCATGCAAATTCCACACCAATGGAGAGAGCTTCATCTATGCTGACGATCATGCTCATCTATGCTGACGATCATGCTATCACCGCTCAAGCTCCTAGAAATCATGAATTCTCCCCAAGCCCCTCTAGCATAGGAAAGAGGTAAGGGAGAGGCAGTGGGCAGGGTCATGCAAATTCCACACCAATGGAGAGAGAAAGGAACCCTAGGATGTGGTGCTCACTACAACCTTCAAGATCCTTGGAGGGAGTGCTTTCTGGATAAGGGTGAACTACAACTCCAACATGCCAAGGACAATCACCCCTAAACCCCGCCTGTATGCACAACTGGCCATGTTTGATCTTTGTGCCAACTTTGGTCCGGATCCATCATCGGCTGGGTTTAGTGCTCTCTGGATAAAGGTGAACTACAACTCCCAGATTCCCAGGGCAATCACCCTTAAATCCTAGTTGTATGCGCAACTGGTCATGTTGGGTCTGTGTGCTAAGTTTGGCCTAGATTCATCATCGGCTGGGTTGAGCACTCTCTGGATACAAGGTGAACTACAACTCCCAGATTCCCAGGGCAATCACCCTCAAATCCTAAGTGTATGCACAGCTGGTCATGTTGGGTGTGTGGGCCAAGTTTGGTCCAGATCCATCATCGCCTAGGTTGAGCACTTTCTGGATACAAGGTGAACTACAACTCCCAGATTCCCAGGGCAATCACCCTTAAATCCTGGCTGTATGCACAGCTGGTCATGTTGGGTGTGTGTGCCAAGTTTGGTCCAGATCCATCATCAGCTGGGTTGAGCACTCTCTGGATAAGGGTGAACTACATCTCCCGTATGCCAAGGGCAATCACCCCCAATGTCCACCATGAGGGGTCTGTGTGCCAAGTGTGGCCCAGGTCCGTCATCTGCTGGGGTGTTTTCTGAATACAAGTGAACTATAACTCCTGAATACCAAGTTCAATCACCCCCAAACCCAGCCAGTATGCAAAGTTGGCCATGTTGAGTCTGTGTGCCAAGTTTGGTCCAGATCCATCATTGGTGGGATTCAGAGGGCTCACAGAATATAGATGAACTATAACTCCCGAATGCCAAGTTCAATCACACCCGAACCCAGCCAGTATACAAAGTTGGCCATGTTGGGTCTGTGTGCCAAGTTAATTCCAGGTCCATCGTTGGTGGGGTTTAGAGTGCTCTTAAGAGGTGCACTATACATCCCAGTCCCTAGAACTCCTATAAATCATGGTCAGCCAGTTACAGAAGGGACAGTGTTTCATCTATGCTGACGATCATGCCATCCCCGCTCAAGCTCCTATAAATCAGGGTGAATTCTCCCAAACCCCCTCTAGCATAGGAAAGGGTTAAGGGAGAGGCAGTGGGCAGGGTCATGCAAATTCCACACCAGTGGAGAGAGAAAGGAACCCTGGGATGTCCTTGCAAGGTCCTTGGAGGAGATGCTTTTGGTGGCTCGTCAGCACTGTGGGTTACAGCTGTTTGTGGAAGCGGAAGGCTGTCTGTGTGACAACCTCCCGCCTCACCCAATTCCACACCAATGGAAAGAGAAAGGAACCCTGGGATGTGGTACAACCTGCAAGGTCCTTGGAGGGGGGGTGCTTTTGGTGGCTCATCAGCACTGTGAGTTAAAGATGGTTGTGGAGGCGGGATGCTGCTTGTGTGACAACCTCCCACCTCACCAATTCCACACCAATGGAGAGAGAAGGGAACCCTGGGATGTGGTGCTCACTACAACCGGCAAGGTCCCTGGAGGAAGTGCTTTTGGTGGCTTGTCAGCACTGTGGGTTAAAGCTGTTTGTGGAGGCAGGAGGTGCTTGTGTGACAACCTCCCGCCTCATCAATTCCACACCAATGAAGAGAGAAAGGAACCCTGGGATGTGGTACAACCTGCAAGGTCCTTGGAGGGGGTGCTTTTAGTGGCTCGTCAGCACTGTGCGTTAAAGCTGTTTGTGGAGGCGGGAGGCTGTCTGTGTGACAACCTCCCACCTCAGCAATTCCACACCAATGGAGAGAGAAAGGAACCCTGGGATGTGGTGCTCACTACAACCGGCAAGGTCCTTGGAGGAAGTGGTTTTAGTGGCTTGTCAGGACTATGGGTTAAAGATGTTTGTGGAGGCGGGAGGCTGTTTGTGTGACATACAGACGTATACATTTTCACTTTTATTATGTGTATAGATGTGGGGAGTGTATGTGCGCGTGCGTGGTTACTTTGGAAAGAGGGCGGGGGTCGGTACCTGAGAAGGCCTATGGGGCAGCCCGCCTGCGCCGCCCTTGCCCCGCTCCCCAGCTCGCCCTTTGTACAGTAGTGGAAAACAATCACGTGGTTGATGCTCGTCCGTCTTTCTCTCGACTTTCCGTTGGAAACAACTGCACGTTCTACTTATTTTTGTTGGTTTGTTTGCCTTTTTTCAGAACCGAATGAAATCAAGAGAAAGATCGCTCGGTGGTACCTTCGCTTCTTTGTCCTCTCTTGTAAATGGTAACGATCTGTCACCTCGAGGCCAATGCTTTCTGACAAAACAATTTAAATAATAATAATAATAATAATAATAATAATAATAATAATAAAGAAATCACTTAATTTATAAAATGGTGGCTCTGCAGCCTGACTGTGTCTTTCAAAAGAGGGGTGTTTTGGTGGAAGAAGAATGGGAATGCACTGAGTTTCCAGCCGGAGCGGTACCTATTGATCTACTCACATGTTTTTGAACTGCTAGGTTGGCAGAAGCTGGGGTTAACTGCAGGAGTTCACCCCGCTCCCATGGATTTGAACCAACAACCTTTCAGTCAGCAAGTCAGCAGTTTAACATTTGCATGTTTTCGAACTGCTAGGTTGGCAGAAGCTGGGGTTAACTGCAGGAGCTCACCCCACTCCCGTGGATTCGAACCGCCAACCTTTCTGTCAGCAAGATCTGGGGCTAACAGCGGGAGCTCACTCTGCTCCTTGGATTCAAACCACCAACCTTTCAGTCAGCAAGTCCAGCAGGTCAGCGGTTTGACATTTGCATGTTTTCGAACTGCTAGGTTGGCAGGAGCTGGGGCTAACAACAGGAGCTCATCCCACTCCTATGGATTCCAATCGCCAACCTTTCGGTCAGCAAGTCCAGCAGGTCAGCGGTTTAACATTTGCATGTTTTTGAACTGCTAGGTTGGCAGAAGCTGTGGCTAACAGTGGGAGCTCACCTCGCTCCTGTGGATTCAAACCGCCAACCTTTCGGTCAGCAAGTCCAGCGAGTTAGCAGTTTAACATTTGCATGTTTTCAAACTGCTAGGTTAGCAGGATCTGGGGCTAACAGTTGGAGCTCACGCTGACCTGCAGATTCAATCCACCAACATTTCAGTCAGCAAGTCCAGCAGGTCAGCAGTTTAACATTTGCGTGTTTTCAAAATGCTAGGTTGGCAGAAGCTGGGGCTAACAGTGGGAGCCCAAGCCGCTCCCGTGGATTCAAATACTGTAAATAAATAACTAAATGTGGGTGAAAGTTCAGGAGAGAATGCTTCCAGAATATGGGAATATAAATGCTGTGAAATAAATAAATAAATAAATGTGGGCGAAAGGTCAGGAGAGAATGCTTCTGAAACATGGGAATATAAATGCTGCAAATAAATAAATAAATGTGGGCAGAAGGTCAGGAGGGAATGCTTCCGGAACATAGGAATATAAATGCTGCAAATTATTTAATTAGCGTGGGCAAAAGGTCAGGAGAGAATGCTTCCGAAATATGGGAATATAAATGCTGCAAAATAAATAAATAAATAAATGTGGGCGAAAGGCCAGGAGAGATTGCTTCCAGAATATGGGAATATAAATGCCGCAAAATAAATAAATAAATAAATAAATATTGGCGAAAGGTCAGGAGAGAATGCTTCCGAAATATGGTAATATAAATGCTGTAAAATAAATAAATGTGGGTGAAAGGTCAGGAGAGATTGCTTCTGGAACATGGGAGTGTAAATGCTGCAGATAGATAGATAGATAGATAGATAAATAAATAAATAAATAAGGGCAAAAGGTCAGGAGAGAATGCTTCCAGGACATGGGAATATAAATGCTGTAGATAAATAAATAAATCTGGGCGAAAGGTCAGGAGACAATGCTTCCGGAACATGGGAATATAAATGCTGCAAATAAATAAATAAATGTGGGCGAAAGGTCAGGAGAGATTGCTTCCTAAACATGGGAGTGTAAATGATGTGGATAGATAAATAAATAAATAAATAAACAAGGACGAAAGGTCAGGAGAGAATGCTTCCAGAATATGGGAATATAAATGCTGTAGATAAAGAAATAAATAGATGTGGGTGAAAGGTCAGGAGAGAATGCTTCTGAAACATGGGAGTGCAAATGCTGGAGATAAATAAATAAATAAATGTGGGCGAAAGGTCAGGAGAGAATGCTTCCGGAATATGGGAATATGAATGCTGCAAATAAATAAATGAATAAATAAATAAATGTGGGCGAAAGGTCAGGAGAGAATGCTTCCGGAACATGGCCAGACAGCCCGGAAAACTCGCCACGAACCAGTGACTCCCTTTGACGGCAACATCTAATCCTTCTGCATCGGAAGGGAGCGCTGTAAAGAGATTCGGGGCCTGCGCCACTGAAAAAGGTGTATTTTTCACCGCGTTCTTTTATTGCCGGAGCCTCATGGCCAAACCGCAATTTTTACCGTTTCTCCCCAAACCCGTAAAAAAGTCCCCTCGAGAAGGTTTCCACGTTCCAAGTTGGTGGCAGCTTCGAGGGAGCAAGGTCCTCCCGCCTCTCGGAAGGGGAAAGCCGGGTCACCCCGCTCCCCAAAGCCCCGTGTGGCTCTCCCAGCCAGCCAGCGGTCAATCACCCTCCTCGTCGGAGAAGTCCAGCTCTTCCACCACGTCCTCCGGTCCTTGAGCCAGTTGCCGCAGTTCGGCCGCAGACAGCTGCTTCCCGGCTCCCTTGGGCTTGGCCCCGCCATCGCCTTCTTCCCCTGAAGAAGGAAGAGCGCACAGAGGTGTCAACCTGCCTTGGCAGATGGAGAGGAGGCTCATTGCTAATTAGTCACAAACACTCATTAATGTATCAGCCTGGGATGCTGCATTTCCCAAACAGTATATGCGGTGGGTGACAACACTCAGAATCCCTTCCATGGAGTAGAAGGGAGGGGAGAGCAGGCGTGCTTGGCGCATGGCAGATGGAGAATCCTCCCACCAAAAGCCCTCCTCCGCTGTGATTGGTTGGCCTTTTTCTGAGTCTTCAAGAGAGGAGGGGAGAGCAGATGTGCTAGGTGCATGGCAGCATGGTGCACATGTGTGGGCAAGGGAGAGCACGTGAGGCTGGAAGGAGGCTCGCACTAGTGAGCCCCTTCCAAGGCATGGGGATTCTGTGTGGGAAGTTTTGCCCAGATTTATCATTGTTGTCCACAGTACTCTCTGGATGCAGGTGAACTACAACTCCAAACTCAAGGTCAACGCCTACCATTCAGTTCTAATCAAGGTGGCCAATTGCAGCATTCACACTTGCCTCAAACAGACACAAGTTCCACAGATATAAAAACCCCAATTGCCTGGTTTGCAAGAGACTTCACGACTCCTGAGGATGCCTGGCATAGATTTGGGTGAAACGTCAGGAGTGAATGCTTCTGGAACATGGCCAGACAGTGTCGTAAACTCTCAGCAATCCATTGGGACAGTCAGAGCCTTTGGCTACTGAGGTAAGGAGCAGTGACTCAGTTTCCCAGTTGCTTTAGGAAGGGGCAGGCACTCTGCCATTTCGGATGGGGAGAAGGAGGGAGGGAGGGAGCCATGCGCGGCACACGGAGTGATTCACGGTGGCAGATGGCGGAGGGTTGGCACAGGAGCCCCTCTCCTGCTGCCCAGAATAGATGAGCAGCGGAGACGGGAGCTGCGAGCGCTTGGCGGTGTTTCCTTGCCAGGCTCGGAGCCACTTCTCAGCAACTGCCAACCTGGCAAGGTAGCGAGAGGTGAAATTGCTCCCCGCACCACTTCTCTCCAAACCTTGGTGTGCATTCGCATTCACAGAATCATAGAGTGCTTCCTGATGTCCATGAAATGCCTGTGTGTGTTCGGTGTGCGGGAATGGGGACCCGATATTAGCCAGGTAAGGCTAGGGTTAAGGTTGGAAGAGACCTCATGGGCCATCCAGTCCAACCCCATTCTGCCACGAAGCGGGAAAATCACATTCAAAGCACTCCCGACAGATGGCCATCCAGCCTCTGTTTCAAAGCCTCCACCACACTCCGGGGCAGAGAGTTCCACTGCTGAACAGCTCAACCACAAAGCTGTGATCCCAGTCAACGATAAGCATACTCTTCTTACCATCAGAATCACTCCAGTTCTCTTCCTCGTCCTCTTCATCATCATCCTGCACTTCATATTCTCCTTCGTCGTCATCGTCGTCTTCCTCTTCACTGCCACCGCCACCTGATGCCCTGTCTAGGCTGCCCTTCTTGGTCTTTGATTTGCCTGCAAAAAAAGGACAGAAAAGAGAATCCTTACGATCATGAAAAGAGGAGGAACTAACTCGAGCAGCGAACAGGGACTTGCAAATCCAGCAGGAGTGCAGCTTTCAAGGGAGAACTTTCCAAGACATCACATACTAGGCATACTGTGAACAACTGCACAGTTGGGGGCTACACTGGTGCATACTGGGCCCATAACCCAATGTCATACCAGTGTTAGTAATTCAACAATATTTTCTGACTTGCAGAGTACTGAAGTTGAGCTTTGCACTGGGTGTTAGACTGCTCTTGTTACTTGCCAATACTGGCTTACACTGGTGTATACTGGGCCCATAACCCAATGCCATACCAGTGTTAGTAATTCAACAATATTTTTGCGGATTTTCATTTTTCACGGGTGGTCCTGGAACATAACACCCCTGATAAGTGAGGGAACACGGGGTGTGTGTGTATGTATATGAAATCCCTACTTCGCGGATTTTCACTTTTCACGGGTGGGCCTGGAATGTAACACTCCTGATAAGAGACGGAACACTGTGTGTGTATGTATATGAAATCCCTACTTTGCGGATTTTCACTTTTTGCAGTTAGTCCTGGAACGTAACACCCCTGATAAGTGAGGGAACACTGTGTGTGCATGCATATAATCCCTACTTTGCGGATTTTCACTTTTCGTGGGTGGTCCTGGAGCGTAACATCCCTGATAAGTGAGGGAACACTGTGTGTGAGTGTGTATCTATATAAAATCCCTACTTTGCGGATTTTCACTTTTCACGGGTGGTCCTGGAGCGTAACATCCCTGATAAGTGAGGGAACACTGTGTGTGAGTGTGTATCTATATAAAATTCCTACTTCGCGGATTTTCACTTTTCACTGGTGGTCCTGGAACGTAACACCCCTGATAAGTGAGGGAACACTCTGTGTGTGTGTGTGAGTGTGTATCTATATAAAATCCCTACTTTGCGGATTTTCACTTTTCACGGGTGGTCCTGGAACATAACACTCCTGATAAGTGAGGGAACACTGTGTGTGTGTGTTTGTGTGTATCTATATAAAATCCCTACTTTGGGGATTTTCACTTTTCGAGGGTGGTCCTGGAACATAACACTCCTGATAAGTGAGGGAACACTGTGTGTGTGTGTTTGTGTGTATCTATATAAAATCCCTACTTTGCGGATTTTCACTTTTCACGGGTGGTCCTGGAGCGTAACATCCCTGATAAGTGAGGGAACACTGTGTGTGAGTGTGTATCTATATAAAATTCCTACTTTGCGGATTTTCACTTTTCACGGGTGGTCCTGGAACATAACATCCCTGATAAGTGAGGGAACACTGTGTGTGAGTGTGTATCTATATAAAATCCCTACTTTGGGGATTTTCACTTTTCGAGGGTGGTCCTGGAGCGTAACATCCCTGATAAGTGAGGGAACACTGTGTGTGAGTGTGTATCTATATAAAATTCCTACTTCGCGGATTTTCACTTTTCACTGGTGGTCCTGGAACGTAACACCCCTGATAAGTGAGGGAACACTCTGTGTGTGTGTGTGAGTGTGTATCTATATAAAATCCCTACTTTGCGGATTTTCACTTTTCACGGGTGGTCCTGGAACATAACATCCCTGATAAGTGAGGGAACACTGTGTGTGAGTGTGTATCTATATAAAATCCCTACTTTGGGGATTTTCACTTTTCGAGGGTGGTCCTGGAACATAACACTCCTGATAAGTGAGGGAACACTGTGTGTGTGTGTTTGTGTGTATCTATATAAAATCCCTACTTTGCGGATTTTCACTTTTCACGGGTGGTCCTGGAGCGTAACATCCCTGATAAGTGAGGGAACACTGTGTGTGAGTGTGTATCTATATAAAATTCCTACTTCGCGGATTTTCACTTTTCACTGGTGGTCCTGGAACGTAACACCCCTGATAAGTGAGGGAACACTCTGTGTGTGTGTGTGAGTGTGTATCTATATAAAATCCCTACTTTGCGGATTTTCACTTTTCACGGGTGGTCCTGGAACATAACATCCCTGATAAGTGAGGGAACACTGTGTGTGAGTGTGTATCTATATAAAATCCCTACTTTGGGGATTTTCACTTTTCGAGGGTGGTCCTGGAACGTAACACTCCTGATAAGTGAGGGAACACTGTGTGTGTGTGTTTGTGTGTATCTATATAAAATCCCTACTTCGCGGATTTTCACTTTTCGCGGGTGGTCCTGGAACATAACACTCCTGATAAGTGAGGGAACACTGTGTGTGTGTGTTTGTGTGTATCTATATAAAATCCCTACTTTGCGAATTTTCACTTTTCGCAGGTGGTCCTGGAACATAACACTCCTGATAAGTGAGGGAACACTGTGTGTGTGTGTGTATCTATATAAAATCCCTACTTTGCGAATTTTCACTTTTCGCGGGTGGTCCTGGAACATAACACCCCTGATAAGTGAGGGAACACTGTGTGTGTGTGTGTATCTATATAAAATCCCTACTTTGCGAATTTTCACTTTTCGCAGGTGGTCCTGGAACATAACACCCCTGATAAGTGAGGGAACACTCTGTGTGTGTGTATAAAATTCCTATTTTGCAGATTTTCACTTTTTGCGGGTGGTCCTGAAACATAACACCCCTGATAAGTAAGGGAACACTCTGTGTGTGTGTATATATATATATATTAGGCTTGGGCGGTTTCGTTTGTTAATTTCGTAATTCGTTATTAATTCGTATTTAAATTAGCTTACGATCCAATATTGAGCCATGCAGGACTACTGTGAGGAGTAATTAAAAATCGAAACAATTTTTCCAATTTATTTCGTATTGTTTCGTAATTGTTTCATAATTGGTTCAAAATTGTTTCGAAATTGTTTCGTAATTGTTTCATAATTATTTCTGTATGTCTGGTGCAAGTTTTATAGTTGTTGTTTGTTTTATCAGTGATAAAAAATAAATTATCACACCAACAGTCAACAACAGAGGGAGAGGGAAGCTTCAGAAGTTCCCCCTGTCCCATTTGGAGGGTTTTTTAGCATATTGCGCAATCGCGTCCGCCATTAACGAATCGATTCGTAATTTTACGAAATTTCGTATATTTTGAACTTTTTTAAAGGAAAATTTCGGAATGCAAGGGCCCCCTAAAAACGAAATGAGTTTAGAACCAAATTTTTCCGTAGTTACCCAAGCCATCCATATATATATATATATATTAGGGCTGGGCGGTTTCGTTTCGTTAATTCGTAATTCGTTAAAAATTCGATTTTTTTTTATAACGAACCATTCTGAAGCAACTTAAAAAAACCGAATTTTTAAATACGTTTTGTAAATGCTTCGTATTTCGTCATTGTATTCGTTTCGTTATTGTTTTGAGGTCGTTTCGTTATTATTTCCGCATGTCTGGGGCAAGTTTTATGTTTTTTTGTTTAATTAGTGAAAAAAATTATAATATCACACCAACAGTCAACAACAGAGGGAGAGGGAAGCTTCAGAAGGTTTTGGAGGTTTTTAAGCGTATTTCGCGGTCGCATCCGCCATTAACGAATCGATTCGTTATTGTTTCGGAAATCGATTCGTTAATTTTTTTACCATTTACGAAATTTCGTAAATATCGAACTTTTTAAAAGGAAAATTTTGTAATTATTTTAAATATCGAAACGCAAAAAAAACCCAAAAAAGAATCGATTTTAGAAACAAATTTTTCCGTAGTTACCCAAGCCATATATATATATATATATATATATATATATATATATATATAATCCCTACTTCGCGGATTTTCACTTTTTGCGGGTGGTCCTGGAACCTAACACCCGCGATAAGTGAGGGAACACTGTACATATTTATTAGAGGCTGTTCAATCCCACTACCCAAATTCACTCTGGCCCCAATACCGATCCATCCAAAATGCTCCTCTTCCAGCGGTGCCCCTTTGGCCCCACCTTCTCCCCCTCCAAAGGAAAGATGGATGGCAAGCACGGCTTCCTGCGGCAGATAATGTTGACAAGCCCCCGAGCAGCCCTATCTCGAGGAGCACAGGAGAGCAGGGGAAACAAAAAGACCATCGCTTTCCCCATTCATCACCGGCGGACGGCGGGAAAAGGATGAGCGCTCCAGCCGCGGCCGGCTGCTCCCACCTGACTGCGCTCAGTGGCAAAGCCAAAGCCGTGATTGATTCCCGGTCCCTTTGTGGCCGGTCAACAAGGAGCGATAGGTGGGGACAGGAGCATCCACGGGAGCCCTTGTTCAGCTTGGCAATCACTTTTCTAGATAAATACCCCAGCAGGATCTGAAATGCTATTGTATCCTCCCTATCATCCTCTTTTTATTCATGACACACTGTTATTATTGCACTTCCTCTACATGAAGATACACTTTTCCCCCATTGAAGCATCCCTAAAAATAGCTTTTGGAATAAACATGTTAAAATAAACCTTTTTTCCATTGGTGGTACAGAAATTAGAAAGCATGGGCAAACCATGGTTCTAAAGTACTGCAAAACTAGGGGACGCTGGAGCTCTGCTTCTAAAGTGTTTCTAACGTTGGTGCTTTGCTTCTAAAGTGTTGCTAAAGTTCTGGTGGTGAAAATTTCAGAACTCTAACAAAACTTTCAAAAATTTTGTTATAAATGGCAGTTCCTTGTTGTTCATTCGTTCAGTCGTCTCCGACTCTTCGTGACCTCATGGACCAGCCCACGCCAGAGCTCCCTGTCGGCCGTTACCACCCCCAGCTCCCTCAAGGTCAGTCCAGTCACTTCAAGGATGCCATCCATCCATCTTGCCCTTGGTCGGCCCCTCTTCCTCTTGCCTTCCACTTTCCCCAGCATAATTGTCTTCTCTAGGCTTTCCTGTCTCCTCATGATGTGGCCAAAGTACTTCAACTTTGTCTCTAGTATCTTTCCCTCCAGTGAGCAGTCGGGCTTTATTTCCTGGAGGATGGACTGGTTGGATATTCTCGCAGTCCAAGGCACTCTCAGAACTTTCCTCCACACCACAGCTCAAAAGCATCGATCTTCC